CCACTCATCCAACCCACACTTCCTGACCTCACCTGTGAGGATGTTAGGGGAGACGGGGTCAAAAGCCTTGCTGAAGTCAAGGCAGACGACGTCCGCTGCTCTCCCCTCATGAAGCTTGGGTTATCTGCGTTGTGCATTAAAAAGACTGTATTGTGAGAAGGCTTTTCATTTGCAGAGGTTTTTCCATCAGCTTTGTTGGTTGAACCTTTTGTATGCTTGCTTTAGAAGTCAGATGTTTTAGGAAAGTATCTGAACCTCTCTCTTTTTGGGAGGCTTTAACCAGTGATTTTACAGATTTGGAGCAGAGCCAGGCATAGTGTACCTAACAGATGGTAGTCTGTACCAAGGTGAAAGTAAGCAAAAAAGCTTGAAACTTCTTAGAAGTGTGATGCCAGGGGAGTCAGTTGCATCAGTAGCACTAGTCATCTACCACATGGGTAGCCAGCTCTTGACTCTTTGTGAGGGTTGGTGAAGACTGTCTTATGGTCAAGTGTTTTAACACAGTGAAAGGTGTTTGCAGTATTTGCTTACTCTAGCTGGTTGTAGCTGCTTTACTCCAAATTTCCCAAAGCATTTCCAAGGCTGTTATCTTTTTGTTCTTAATCCAATTGTCGACAAGAGAGATCTGATGCATGTAAATCCTTTGTCACCATCAGGGCCAATGAGCAAGAATTCTTTTCCTAGCTTAGACTCTAATAACTTATGTGGTGCTACAGGTTCAAGCGGATCCTTGTGCTGATATCCCATTCCCAGGACTTCTTGAATGGTGTCTGCACTAACATAATCCACATGCACAACCGCAAACTGAAGTACTACACAGTGAGTAAATGCTGCCCTGCGCAACCAGCAGAAACAGAGGAGCTGTTCTCTGGGGCATGTCTGATTTTCTGTGGCCTCTTTCTAGGGGAATTATGATCAGTATGTAAAGACTCGTTTGGAACTCGAAGAAAATCAAATGAAGCGATTCCACTGGGAGCAAGATCAGATTGCCCATATGAAGGTATCTGCCTAGCTGCATGAACATCTCTTTCTACCCATGCAGGTGGGCATTCCTGCGCCTCCTCAACCTTGTTACTGTGGCTTGCAGCTAACTGTGTGTTTTGTTGCAGAATTATATTGCACGATTTGGTCATGGTAGTGCGAAGCTGGCCAGGCAAGCTCAGAGCAAGGAGAAGACCCTTCAAAAAATGATGGCTTCTGGCTTGACAGAGAGAGTTGTGAATGATAAGGTAGGATCACACATGGGATTGCATCTAGAGATCAGTATTGGAAACATGGGCTAGATAAGTAGAATGATCTTTTTTAGCAGGAATAGCTGACACAGCTGAGAGCAAGAATGGTACACCCTTCCTGATGCCAAGGATGACTGTACTGAAGATAGTGTAGTGCTGAAGAGTGGAAAGATGAGGAGTAATTTTCTAGGGGAGAGAAGGGGATTTGTCATAGCAATAAGGCTATTTTGCAGACACAGAAACCAGAAATTAATGTCTAGCACTTGGAGAAGATGGGTGAGGATGCTCAGAGCAACTCCTACTTGTTTGAAGAGTATAAGCCCACATTTGCTTCAAGGGGAAAGAAATAGAGACTTGTTAGCCAGCAGATGAGCTTGCAAGCAACTAATCCGAATAAATCCGTGAGTGAGTTGCTGGAGAGGGGCTTGTAAAAAGTCACGGTCTGGTGGCTTGGTCTACAGATAGTGTTTGTAGTGAGGCATGGTTATATCAGAATAACTGGGTTGTCTTGTGCTCCAGGGTGTCTAACATGGATATTCTGTGTTAACAGACTTTGTCATTCTATTTTCCACCTTGTGGGAAAATCCCCCCTCCTGTCATCATGGTGCAGAACGTCAGCTTCAAATACACCAAGGATGGGGTGAGTATGGGGAGTGTGCATGGGTTGTATGGCAGTTACCTGTATCCTTGCCTTGTTTGGGAGTGTGAGGCTTTTGGCTAAGCTTTCTGATCAGGCTGCAGCATATGACTAGTGGATCAAACTTCTTGGCAGTGTTAATGCTGAGTCTGCTGAGGACAGAGCATTACAGGTGCAGCATGGAGGTTCTGGGTAGTAGTGGAAAGGCATAATATCCGTCATGATTTTTGTGGTTTGCAGCCATGGATCTATAATAACCTGGAGTTTGGGATTGACCTGGATACGCGTGTAGCTCTTGTTGGTCCCAATGGAGCTGGAAAGTCAACCCTGCTGAAACTCCTCACAGGAGAGGTATGCTCCCTGTATGTCTGCCCTGTTCTGGACCTTTATTCTTGGGGGAGTCTTCAATGAAGCTGCACTTACTTGCCAGAGCACCCCAGTCAGGTCTTGGAAATCCTAAGGTCCTCCTGCAATGTAGGGCTTTTTCTCTCATACTGTCTGTTCAGGCTGCCTCCTCTGTGCCACAGCAGAGATGGCTGGATTCTGTATTTCTGGCATACAGCAAAAGGAGGGATTTCCTGGTGAAATGCTTTTATCTTCCCTTTCTAGCTGCTGCCCACAGACGGGATGATTCGCAAGCACTCACATGTGAAGATCGGTAGATACCACCAGGTACTCCCCACAGCAGCCACCGGGGACATGAAATGCTGAGGAAAAAGCTGTCAGGAATGAGGAATCTTGCTCCTCTATTTCTGCTTCTAAAGCCCCTCCCACTGCTGCCCTTCTGTGCCTGGAGATGGGGGAAGGAACTGTTCTGTTGGCTGAATGGGCTCTAGCAAATGTTCTTACCCTGAAAAGAGGCTTGCTGTGGTCCTTTCTGTTTAGTCGCTCACCTTTTATGGAAGAGATGGTTGCCTTGTGCTTGGTAGTGGCTAAGCCTGCTATTCTGAAGCAGGCTTCCTGCTGCTGCAATGGAGACTTTCCATTCAGCACAGTTCAGCACAGTGTCCATACTGTGAGTGGGGTTATTGGCTCTTGTGTTCTGCTGCTCAGCTGGTACCAGAGGGATATAAGGGGGGAAGTACTTTTGGCCATGAAGTGGGTGGCCTGCACAACCTGAAGCTGACTTTTATTCTCTGTCAGCACTTGCAAGAGCAGTTGGACTTAGACCTCTCACCCCTGGAGTACATGCTGAAATGCTACCCAGAGATCAAGGAGAAGGAGGAGATGAGAAAAATCATTGGCAGATATGGCCTGACAGGGAAGCAGCAGGTAAGTATGAGCTGTTGAGGTTTGCTTTTTGCTCATTAGGGAAGTAGAGCTGCTGCATTTTCTGTTGCTCTGCTGCTGTCTGACAGTGTGATGCAGTATGCAGCGTGGCACACCAGAGCATCAAAATGCTTTTTCCATCTCTGCCTTCGAAATTGGAGAAAAAAATAGCTTGTGGCTCATAGGAACTTCCTTTGCATTGCAGCAATAGGTGGGTTGGAATGGGTGACCTCCTTGAAATCCAGGTGAAGAGAAGACAAGTTGCGGCATAGTGCTAGACTCGAGCATATTTTAATTGTAACTTGAACTAGTTTGATTATCTCTTATTTCTGAGATGAATACCAGGCAGAAATACTAGAACACATTTTCATCTGGGAGTGGGGACCACTTACTTCAAACAAGAAGGCAGGATCACCGGTGGTGCTCTAAGTCCAAACATGACATGCTCCTGTATGTCATACGTCGTATGTGTGACAGGAGTTGTCTTCATCACTGCAGTTCAACATGGATTTTTACATTGTTCTTCCTCATGTGTCACTCCAGAAGTTGAGACTAGCTTTATGGTTGTGTGAGAATGCAATGAACATGAGTCAGACCTCAATTAATTAACCTCTGGAACCTTTAACACAAGCTGGGTCTCGCTATGGACACTCCTTCTTCAGAAGCCCCTGAAATTCCCTTGTTCTGCTGGTGAGAGAAGCTTAGTCTAGATATAAGACTGACTAAACTTTGTCCTCTTGTGTCCTGTAGCTGCTGGAAACACAGTGTGAGATCTGAATGTTTTGTGGTCAGGGTGGCAGTCTGTAAGTTTCCCTGCAGAGCTGCGAACAGTGTCTGTGTTTGCCAGGTGAGCCCCATTAGGAACCTCTCTGATGGGCAGAAGTGCCGTGTGTGCTTTGCGTGGCTGGCCTGGCAGAATCCTCACATGCTTTTTCTGGATGAGCCCACCAACCACTTGGACATAGAAACAATAGATGCTCTGGCAGATGCTATCAATGAATTTGAAGGAGGAATGATGCTCGTCAGCCATGACTTCAGACTCATCCAACAGGTAAGAAAAGTAGTGAATTTTGTCAGAGCACCTTTCTAACACTTGAAGTAATTAAAACAAGCTGTTTTCAGCTGACTGGCTCTTACTCATCCCAAAAAGATGTGTGAGTGAAAAAACCCACTGGACACAATTCTCTTGTCATGTTCATGTGAAACAGTTGCCAAGCTAGCCTAGGAAAACATTAGGTACTTGAAAGGAGAAAACAAACCAAACCACAAAACCCTAGAAATGATCAAGTTAAATAGAAATCATGACACACTGTGGAGGCCTTAACTAGATTTTTTTTAAATGATACTGGAGTAGTTCTAGCACAGCTTTTTTTTTTTTTTATCACTCAGTCTGCGCAGGCAAAGGAAATTGCAGCATGTACACACAAATGTCAAGTGCTGATTTACCCGCTATAGCTTTGTCTGCAAGTTCAGGTACAATTTTATTTTTCAGTGTGTTATATCCAAGTAGTTCAGGTCAAGAACTACTTTTTTTTTTTCAATTCCCAATTTAGCAGGAAAGGCTTTCCTTCCTAGTCTGTGAACAAAAAAAGAAATGTTGATTTTTATTTCTAAAATCTTGTATAAATTATGCAGAAAACACCAGGTAAGATATTTCACTGCAGATATTTTTCTTAGGTAGTTGAAGTGTGAGAGTTATTAAACTCTTTTCTTACCAGATTTCAGAGAGTAGATTTTGGTTAATTTTACAATTTTTGGTAAAATTATAACATGCTCTCCTGTAAACCTCTCCTCCTCGTCCTCGTATGCTTGCTTTCAGGTTGCACAGGAGATCTGGGTCTGTGAGAAGCAGACAATCACAAAGTGGCAAGGCGACATCCTGGCCTACAAGGAACATCTCAAGTCAAAGCTAGTGGATGAGGATCCGCAGCTCACCAAAAAGACCCACAACGTGTGAGCTCTAGAGCAGCCGGTCAGGAGACCGACAGCGGCTGTTGTGACTCGCCCATCTGCCAACTGGAATGGGACTCTGCTGCTATCTCTGGCTGTGTTCTAGGATTGCTGCAATACTGCTTCCCCTTGACTTGCCTTGCACCTCTGTATCTGGACAGATCTCTTCTCTGCTGATCTGGCTACGTTTGGGCAACCATTTCCACGTTTAGACGATGTCCCATCTGAGCCAGACCTTGGAATCTAATGGTCTGGGGTCATGGCAGTGGCAGTTAGGGTGTCCGAGCTGCAGTGATACTGAAGTGGAGACCTCAGCCCAGCTTCTCCCGCCTCTTCCTTCCCAATTTCTGCTTCAGTTTAGATACTTCACTTCAAACTCCTCTGGCCTTGGTTTGTTTTTAACTATTATTTAACAGTGTAATTAACAGATCTGCCTGAGAATCCGTCAGTCAATAAAGAGGGAAGAACAGTCTTGTTTTGTGAGCCATGGTAGTTATTGCAGCATTCTTGGGCAAATTGGCTAGTGCTGAGCTTTAAGTAAGGAGTGCAGAGCCCTTTCTTCTGGGGCGAAGGTTCAGTTCTTCAGTACTACCAAAGTTATGACCAGAACTTGTGGGATACACAAAGTGGTGAGTACTGAGCTCTGGAGGTACAGAGGAGTGAGTAGGATCCTCACATCTGGGAAGCTTTTGCTAATCCAGAGTGAACACTGGGTTTTCCAGTTAGTGACAGGAGGGGGAGCAAGCCACGCAGGCTTTTTTTGTTGTTGACAGATACAACTTGAAAGGGTTCTGAAGACTGAAGTTAGAGACAGAATGTAGGTCTGTAAAATACCAGTGTGTGTGCCCCACAACAGAGTGGCCTAGGTGTATGCTTTTTCCTTCACCTTGAATTCTATGGGTCTAATAATGAGACTCAATAATTTAGGATATTTGGACTATGAATTAGTTATTTGTTCCTTGCAGGTTTAACTGATGAAGATCAATCAACTAAAGTTAATTTAACATTTATTTTTGTTCTTAATAACAATTTTTCAGAAAAGTTGGTGTTTAAACCTCACCCTGTGCCACAGAAGCTTGAACAAAGTACATTTTTCATGTATTTTTAAAACAATTAAAAGGTATTAAAGAAAAAGGTAGCAAATCAAACGAAATAACTTCTTATGTTCATGAGTTATCATTTCGATTACTTCTGACACATGAGAATGACTGCACTGGCCATGTGAAAGGTTCATATAGCCCAGTAACCTCTTCCAACAGTACACGTTGACAGGTAAATTGAAGAATAGGACAAATACGTAGTAGTTGTACTCTTGCAGCACTTTCTCAGGTGCCGACTGTCTGTGGCTCTGACTTTCTGTGGAGTATTTCCTTGGGTTTTTTTTTCAAAGGGACCATCCAAGACCGCTGCTATAGAAGCACTGCGTGTCATCCATAGGACAAGTGTCACAATGGGAGCTGCTGACAGTAGATTGTGCAGAACATTCAGGTTTTTGAGTGTTTTTAGCAATTATCTGAGAGGAAAAAAAAGTCATCTTTTCTGAGAAAATCACGCAGATTAGTATAAATGCTGTTCAAGTTAGTTCTGCAGAAAAGTCTAGACAGCATTGAAAAGTCACTTAAATGAGTATTTCACAGTGTAGTGCTCAGAAGTTGACAGTGATGGAGTAAAAGCAATCCACAGATAAGTAATTACTGTAAAGGCTGATTGGCATCACAAAAGTTGAGACAAGGAGAGATGAATGCCTGTCTTTGTTCGTTCTGCTCTCTAGGTTTTAAAAAGATGTTGGTGTTTTGGGAAGGGTTGCAAACTACCTATGAGAATAATGAGGTCAAGAAGTCCCTCCTGAGGCTAGGGGCAGAGCTGTTTGTTCTGCTTTTCCTTATTCTTAGCAAAAATTTGGCAACAACTCTTGTCACTGCATTTCAGATCTGTGTAGTTGAGAGCCATGGTGGCAATAATAAATGCAGGGTATAATCTTACACTGAGTTCTTTGGCAATGGTAAATGCTGAGAAGGGCATGGGAACATTGGGATGACAGCCAGCATGACGGACAGTAGTTGGAGAGTTCTTGCAGCTGATACAGCAAAGAGGAGAGCTGTGTTAGCTGTCTGCTGCTGCGAAATGAGAGGAGCTGCTTGGTTGCAGACAGTTCTCTGATTTAGCAAACAAGGACCACAGGTACATGTTCAAAGCAAAAGTAGCTGTAACTGCGCTAGAGGTCACAGTTAGTAGGGCAGGACTTGTAAAATGGAATATATGTACATGTTTATCTGTCTGGTATTTCAGCCTTGATTTAAACCTGTCCTGTGGTGACAGTTTGATAGACTGCCCTGAAGCAGCTGCAGCAGGCATATGTCCTGGAGTACTGACTTCTGTCAGAGAGACAGCCACTAGCTGGGGCGGTGCCTGTTCCAGCTAGGGCTTTTCTGGTCATACATAAAAGCAAAACCATATCCAGATAAATTATGAGAATTGCTCCTTAGTTCTAGGATGGTCATTTCTGTGAAAGAAGTGGCCTACAGCCTCTACACTGTTACTCTTGCTTGTAGGCTAAAAGTGAGGTTGGCTCTAACACAACTACAGCGGGACGTGCATCGAGTGCAGGTGGTGGGATTCCCTTGTCTTTGTGTTGTGAGTCAATCCATACACTACAAAAATAGCACAAGGGTGAGTCAAGCCCAGCGCGCAGCTTCCAGGATGGGCAGCCTCTAGCACATACAATCTAGGGAAGGAGATGGTAATTCCCCCAATCTGGGGGGGAGTTCAAATTTGAGTACACTGCTCAGTGGATGAGCCCCTGCCCTTGCTACGTAATGGCTCCCTGCGCTTAATGCCGAGTGACCAGTCACTCCTCCTTGTCCACCAAAGGGCTTCCTTCTAACTAAGCATTTTGTCAGAAAAACAAGCTCTGTGTGTAACTGCCAGGTGCCAGACACAGCTGTGGCTGTGGAGGAATCCAAGGGCTAACAGCTCCTCTAGCATGAGGGAGCCTTTGTGTGCTGCAACCAGCAGAAAAAGTAAAACGGTTCCAGTGGCAGTGAACAGTCACGGTCTTCTCCCCCAGCACAAAGATGTCAGCTGTTTACAGCTCTGTAAATCGGTGGGTGGGTGGGATGCACATCAGAGGAGGAAGCGCTGTGCTGTTCCTTGTCAACGCATGGCCTCTTACAAAACAGAAGTGGTGATGTTGCCTGCTCCTTGCTCCCGGTCTGAGTCATCCACCAACACCTCTTGACAGTGTTAGATACCACAGAGTATGCCACTGCCGTTCCCAGAAGGATCCCGCTGCCCCATATCTTCAATGCCCGAGTCTGTTTGCCTTCACAAATGTGCTGATGTGACTATTCCAGCCTGTCCCACCTGATCAGTACTGTTTCAGTTCTTGGGTGCAAAAAGCCCTCCTGTGATAATTGGACCCCGTTTGTCACTGTGACGTTTGTTTGCACCAGGGCTGGGTGATCAGGTGCCTCCCCAGGAGCACAGGCCTAGAATAAAACTGCGCTCAGTGAAACGCTCTTGGCTGTACGAGCCCCGGCAGAGCGACTGGCGAGTCGGTCTCCCGGACTCAGTCCTCGGAAGATGTGATTTGCTGGGGATGTGCCAGCACAGCGCGTGCCCCTGAGCAGAAGGCTGTGCCCGGCAGCACAGAGGTACCAGCGCTGCCTCCCCCAAAGGGACGTACTAGCATTACCCTGCTATGAAACGTCTGTTGTGGTGCCTGCTGGCAGAAGGGCTTCCTTTTCTGTCTGAAGGACAGAAAACTTTTTCTAATTTGTTCACTTCTCTGCTGTGTTGCTGCACATTTTTATTCCTGGCTTAGCTTAATTCCTGCATCATAATTACCATCACTGGTGCGACCACTGGTTTCCCAGATAGATTAAATACACCCTCAGGGTGTCAGCCCTTCCCGCCCTTCTGTCCTGTGAGACCCTGTTGTGTGTAGCAGGCAGGACTCCCAGCCGCAGGCTAGCTGAGATAGTGGGGGAACGCTGGATGTTGGGATGTTTATAACGCCGTTGTCCAGTCACTAGACCAATGCTCCCTCCAGTTACGGAGTCTCCACTGACTGCATTATCTGTTCCATGGCACAGAAGTGGTTCCACTGACTTGATTCGGGAGGCAACATCTTGATGTCCTGCTTTTGGCTGGGATAGAGTTGATTTTCTTCCTAGTAGCTGGTACGGTGCTGTGGCTTGGATTTAGGATCAGAATCACGTTGATAACACCCGGGTGTTGTAGTTGTTGCTCAGTGGTGCTTACCCGAAGTCGGGGGCTCTGCCAGCGAGGAGGGGCACAAGGAGCTGGGAGGGAGCACGGCTGGGACAGCCGACCCCAACCACCCAAAGGGATATTCCATACCATAGAACGGCATGGCCAGTACAGAAACTGGGGGGGTTGGCCGGGAGGGGCCGACTGCAGCTCGGGGCCGGGCTGGGCATCGGTCAGCGGAGGGTGAGCAACTGCGTTGTGCATCACTTGTATATTTTTTGTTTGTTTGTTTGTTTTTCCCTTGAGTTTTATTCCTCTCTCTCTCTGTTATCTTCCTTTTCATTA